GGCAGGCCGCGGCGCAGTCCTGGCACGAGCAGGGCTCGCCGGTCTCCTCGAACGGGCGCTCGCAGCGCCAGGCCTCGCCGCCCAGCGGCCGCAGCCCGTCGCCCAGCTCGGTGCCGTTGGCCACCAGCTGGAAGTCGATCTGCAGCGGGGCCAGCCCGTTGTTCTTGTCGCCCTGGAAGTCGAGCCAGCGCTGCGCCGTGCAGAAGCGGGCGCCGTAGCGGCCGCACATGGTGTCGATGGCGTAGCCGCCCGTGGCGGGCAGGCGCACGTCGCGGCACGACGTGAAGGCCGCCTCGGCCAGCGCGCGCTCGTAGAAGCACTGGTACTCGAGCACGGCGCTCTCGTTGGCGCCGCCCGCCGTGTAGGGCGCGGCGCGGGTGACGTTGGTGAAGAGGCTCTGGTCGGGGCTGCAGATGTTGCGGCAGTAGATGTTGGCGAAGTTGCGGGCGCAGGCCGGGCAGCGCGTGAGCACGGCGCTCGAGAGCGCCACGCTGAGCTGCAGCGCCGAGAGCTGCGCGGACGAGCAGCAGACGCGCGTGCCGTTGGCGGCCGCCGCGTCCGCGGGCACCAGCTCCGGGCACACGCTGCGCAGCTGGGCCAGCAGCAGCGGCGAGGCGAGCCGCGCCGGCGTGTTGGACACACAGGGCAGCTTGGAGGGCACCAGCGAGACGTTCACCTCCGGGTTGGCGCCGCACTCGCCGTAGAAGGCGCAGTAGCCCGCGCGGTGGATCGGCGTCAGCTGCGGCGTCGCCTGCGGCAGCACCCGCGTGTCGGCGCCGGCGGCTCCCGTCGCCCGCCGGGCCCCGCGGCGTYACCTACCAGCGGCAGGAGGGTGCCGAGCAGGACGGGCAGCGCCAGCGCCGGCGCCATCGCGGCGCGTCCCCGGCCTCGGCGGGACCCCGTCTCCCCCGGGCGCCTCCCGGCCYGTGAGGTCTTTTGGCCTGACGGCGCCCAGGCCAATCAGCCCGCGGCGCCGCTGTAAATCGCCTGTGATCATTAACCGGCGCGGCCTCGATCGATAGCGCGCGGGGAGGTGCCCGCCCGGCCCCCCGGCCTCTTCCGCCTGGCACCGCGGGCGCTTTCCCACGGATGCTGCCGGTGACGGCGGGTCTCCTACGCGGAGCTTTGCGGGAGCGAGGGCGCCTGCCGCCCACGCAAGACCCGTCCAGGGACAGAGATGGGGATTTTGGTGCCCGCGGGAGGGAGGCATGGGCAGAACATTGGGGAATGGTGGACATGGAGCAGTGATGCCAACCGCGGGATATGTTTTCCCAGCGTGAGGGGCCTCGGGTGCTGGCGGTGCGTGCCGGCAGCGAGCGGGAAGGGGCAATAAAACCTTTCCCAGGGAGGTGAGCGGGGCTGCCRTGCCCGTGCCGGAGGGCACCGGGGTGCCAGTGCCACCCCTGTCCCGCATGGGTGCCAGGAAGGGTTCAGGGTTGCTAGGTGGCCTTGGAGAAGAGCAGTCTCCCCGATAAGAGGCAGCAGAAAGAGATATGGGCACCGCGAGCGATAACGGTGCCCGCCGTGGGCAGGGCTTGGCACCGCTCCGYGCCGCTGCGAGGGGCACGAGGAGCCCGCGGTGCTGGGGGGCAGCGGCGGCCACGGGCAGCCCCGCGGGACCCGCACAGAGCGCGAGGGTGGCAGTGCCCACGGCCAGGCGGGCACGGGAGGCAGGCGGGAAGCCCCCCGGCCGGCGCTGCCGCCCACGCACCCTTCCTTGCCRGGCAGCCGCCATCCCCTCGCCCTGCTTTATGGCCTTGCCCTCGATAAGGGGGCCGATAAGGCCCTGGCACCTTCGCCCTGGCACGGGCGGGCACGCCGCCGCTCGCCGCCACGTCACCCGCGCCACAGTCACGTAGCCACGGGAGAAACRCTCGAGCGAGGGGGTCTCTTGGCACCTTTATTGCTCGCGGAGATGCCCCGCGCTCGGGGGGCTGGTGAGGGCCCCGCGGTGCCCGGCGCAGGGCACGCGGGCTCAGCTGGGCTTGGTGGCCGGGCGCTTGGCACGCTGCCGGGCGTACTTGAAGGTCTGCAGGGGGTTGGCACTGCCGCGGGCCTGTGGACGGGGCGACGAGAGCAGCGTCAGGCCAGCCCGGGGCCACTGCAGGACCYGCGGGTGGCACCCGGGCTCCCCGTGTGCCCAGCGGGACCCCGGCACTCACCTTGGAGCCGCGGCGGCGGCTGGCAGCGCCGTGGGGCAGTCGCTGCCGCTTGTGCTTCYTGAGGACGGGCTTGGCGACGCCACGGAGGCTGGGCGGCACTGCGGGCACGGGAAACAGGGCACAGGCGTGGCGGAGCCGTCCCCGCCGCCGCGGCCCCGCGCTGCCCGCGGGCACCCCCGCCACGCGGCCTACCCAGGTAGTCGGGCACGTTGCGCAGGTGCGGCTGCACGATGGCCGGGTGCAGYGGCTTGTCGTGCCGCAGCACGTGCAGGTCCCGCGGGTTGTCCTCGAAGTAGGTCTGGGCACGGAGAGGTCCCAACGCTGCCCGCGCGCCCGCCGCGCCCCCCACCACGGCGGTGCCCGCCGGGTACCTTGAGCTTCTCGGAGTTGAGCAGCTCCTCCTTTATCTCGCGCAGCCGGGCCTCCTTCACGGCCTGCTTGGTGACGGAGCGCATGGCATCCTGCGGGGCGCGGGCGTCAGCGCCAGCCCTCGCCACCCTCCCCGGCCGGCGGCAGCGCCGGCACCCTCCGCACCCGGCACCGGTAGCGCAGGCCCTCGATCTCCTCCATGCAGAAGCGGTACGGCTGCAGCAGCGACTCRCCGCCCTCTGCGGATGCAAAGGGACACGCGGTGACCCGCCGCGCGGTGCCACCCAGTGCCACCCGGCGCCCCCATGCCCACCTCCAGCGAGCGCGTCCTCGATCTCGGCCAGCTTGTCCTGCTCCTCGGGCAGCACGAAGGTGAGCGCCGTGCCCGGGTTGTTGGCGCGGGCCGTCCTGCGGGTGCAGGCGGTTGGGGCGGGCGCCGAGCGGGCGCCCACGGGGGCACCTGGCGCCCCGTGCCTACCTGCCCACRCGGTGGATGTAGGACTCGACCGTGGGCGGCACGTCGAAGTTGATGACGGCGGCCACGTTCTGGAAGTCGATGCCCCGTGCCACGCTGTACTCGGGGTCCTTGCCCCTGCCGGCGGGGAGGGCGACACGTCAGGGTGGCATGGGAAGCCCGCGGGCACGGGGACACCCGTGGGGGCACGGGGACAGCGTGGGCAAGGGCAGTCACGCAGGTGGCAGCAAGCAGCGCCCCATGGACGCTGCCATGYCCCCTTGGCGCGGGGCAGCACCGCGACGTCCCGCACGGCCCCGGCCACGCGGTGGCACCCGCGACAGTGGCCCCAGGCGGCTCCTTGGTGGCCCTGCTCACTTGTCAGCGGTGGCCCCGGCCTTGCGTTTCTTGCGCGGGGGCTGCGCCGCGGGCACCGCTGGCACCTCCTCGTCCGTGGCCACGATGTAGTCGTAGATGCCCCGGTTGAACTGGGTGATGACGTGGCACCTGGGGGACGCGCGGGGGCTGTCAGCGCGGTGTGGCCGCCCGGCGGGGTGGCACCCCTGGCGCCAGCACTGTCCCTTGTCCTCCTTGCACCTCCGGACACCCTGCAGGGGCCCCTGGGCACAGGAGCGTCCTGGCACCCGACCGCCTCCCATCGCCCCTTTACCCCCGCCACGGGCACCCTGTGCCTCCCCCACACACCCGTTTCCCCCTCCACGGGTGCCCTGGCACCCCAAGCTGCCCCCAAGCACCCAGTTCCCTCCTGCATGGCAGTGCCCTCCTATGCCCAAGCGCTCCCCATTCAGGAGCCCCTCATTTTTCATCCTCGTCCCCCCATTCTCCCACGGACCCTTTTCCTGCCTCCACAGGCACCCTGGCATCCCTGTCACACCCAGATGGCTCCTTCCCCCTTCCATGGGCACCCAACTTTCCCCCCAGCACCCACTTCCCTCCTCCATGAGCACCCTGGGCCCCTCATGCCCATCACTAAACACCCCTCCCACCTCCACGGACATCCTGGCATCCCGTTCCCCCCCCAGACACCCGGTTCCCCCTTCCATGRGCACCGTGGCACCCATTCCCCGCCAAAGCACCCGTCACCCTCCCCACACTCCCCCGGGCACCCCGTGGGGGGGCCGTGACGGGCACCGGGAGCGCGCGGGCAGCTCGGAGTTGAGGGCGCAGGCGGCGATGCCGAACTGCTCGAGGAAGAGCTTGAGGCGGTAGCAGCGGGCGAGGGTGCCCACGAAGAGCAGCGCGCGGCCGCGCAGCAGCGCCAGCTTGAGCAGGGCGCACAGCAGCAGGAACTTGTCCTCCTCGGCGCCGCAGCGCACCTGGAACTGGCGCAGCTGCGCGGCGCCCGGCAGCCGCGGCTCCGGCGGGCACAC